TGCCAGCAAGATCTCATTGGGCTTGTTCAGCCTGGAGAAGAGAAGGCTCCAGGGAGACCTTATTGCACCTTCCAGTACCTGAAGGGGCTACAAGGAAGCTGGGGGGGACTGTTTACAAGGGCCTGTAGTGACAGGACAAGGGGTAACGGGGTTAAATTGAAAGTGGGGAGGGTTAGATTAGATATCAGGAAGAAGTTCTTCCCGGCGCGGGTGGTGAGGCACTGGCACAGGTTGCCCAGAGAAGCTGTGGATGCCCCACCCCTGGAAGTGTTCAAGGCCAGGCTGGATGAGGCTTTGAGCAACCTGGTCTAGTGGAAGGTGTCCCTGCCCATGGCAGGGGGGTTGGGACTAGATGGTCTTTAAGGTCCCTTCCAACCCAAACAATTCTATGAATTCTATGATTCTAAGATCCCTGTCCCTAACACTTTCTAAGCAGAAGGGTAATGTCATAACAATTAAATGAAATTGGGTCACTCTGTTCCTCCCAGTACCATAAGGGAGGCATTATGTATGAAATAGTCATATCTTCACTGAAAGAAACAGGAATGTCATCTCAGGAAGTTTTTTCCAAACAAGGCTCCAACTCCATCATGATCTCCACACTCCCAATTAAATCCATTAGCAAGTATATATAAAGGGAATTTTACATAGCTTTTTACCATTTTGCTGACAATATGTGATTATTAGGCAAATTTTCAAGCCTAGACTGTATGAACAAAATACACCTTTAGGCCAATATGAACAAAGAGTATGCAAAATGTAAAACCATTGGCACATCTATTTACATAAAAGTAGAACAGCATTCAGTACTTCCTCACATTCTACCAATTTCCAGCACTATTTTACCTTCCAGTTTCAAAGACTTCATGACAAAGGTCTAAAATGTCTCTTGTATCTATCTAGTATTGACCACGGGATAAAAGAAGTTATGTACAGCCTCATTTGGTTATAAGTCTGCTCGTTCTACACAAATACACGGTTTTAAACTTAAAATATCTTTTTTATCAAACTTACTCCCAATCTAATTTGCATTCCTCACTGGATGGCAGTAGTCAGCAGCTGTTCTCAGTTTTAAAATGAAGTCTGGATTTCATTTGTAATAGTCTGGTTTATGTTGTTCTAGCAAGTCTTTGAAGCAAGTGTGAATGTAATTTATGCCTTCGAAGAGGGCTGCCACTGAAAACTCAGTCCACCTACTGTTCAACTACTACAGATTTCAGAATAAGGAGTCCTTCAGCTTGTGTTAATTACAGGATAAAAATGATTATCAGGAATTGGTAATAGTGTCCTGTAACGGGTGTAGATTTTTTTTAAAAAAAGAAATTTGAGATTACCTTTCTGGACACCACTAAACAGTTCTTTCTCTCGATTTGCTCCAACATGGAAACAACATAAATTTTTAGTTCCTCTACTAAAGATACAAATCTCAGTGGATTGCAAACAACATTTATTTGTCAGAAAGAAAGTATCTCCAGTGCTTGTGAATTATTTTGTTAATAATTTCTTTCTCTCTATTTGCTCCAACATGGAAACAACTCAACATAAATTTTTAGTTCCTCCACTAAAGATACAAATCTCAGTGGATTGCAAACAACATATATTTGTCAGAAAGAAAATATCTCCAGTGCTTGTGAATTATTTTGTTAATAATTTGGATGACAAACATATTAAATGGTTACACTATATAGCAGGGGATGTACTAGCTAAATGAGCTTGCTTTGTAGTTAAAAATGTATCTTTTAGAATGTTTTTTGTGCTCAGAAGGCAGGATAATGCAATCCTAATCAGTGTTTCTAGGAAATGCAAGTGTTAAAAAGTAACTTTTGTACGATATCTACTTTATATGTCACTTTTGGCTACTGATTTTACATACAGTCTTTCCATCCCCTCTACCTATACCTTACATTTCTATGGGCCATCATTTTCTTTCAGACATCTCTGTAAGTTGTCTTCCATAGAAAACTTCATTTCAGTTGTTCAGTACAGAATGGTAAGTAGTACACATTCACTACACAGTTGCTGATTGCTTTACGTTGGCGCTCACCAAATGTGAACATTCATGTTAAGATCTTGGTTTTTCTTGGTGAGGCTGTTCGAAGTTAAACATTTTATTTGCAATAATTCTATCCTTCTACCTCCATTCATATTACTGTGGCACCAGATTTCTGACTGAGCTGATATGTAGCTAAGAGAGCATGGATTCCAGACCTCCTTGGGCTTATAAACTGAAGTGCTACAACTAGGGATCTCTGCGGTGTCTCTCCCAAATTACAAGTGAAGCACTGAAGGAATGGTGGGTGAAATTCTGCTTTGCCACATTGCAAAGAATGGGATTGTGACATTGGTTACAATAGGGGCATTTTTTCATTATTTGTATAACTTTTTTAACACTACACTATTTTTTTTTCTTTTAAAATATTGAAGGATTTCTAAAGGATTTTCTTAGGCAATAAAATTTCCTACCTTTCCATCTATTCTTACAAAATACTGTTGATTTTTTCAAGTACTGATGAAATTTTAATTCTAAAATAATTGGATACTTTACTACCAAAGATGCTTCTGCTTTCTCATTTGCATTCAGATTTCCTAGCTCTTTTTCTGTGCTTCAAAGCCTTTCCACTTCTTTTCCCATGACAAGGACTGTAAAAGTCATATCAAGATCAGGCAAAACAACATTAACAGATACATCTCACAGCTATTAAATTAATAAATACACTTCTGCAATTAATGTATTGCATAATCACACACACCTACATGTGTATATATATTCTGATTAATAACACGGTATTATTTTATGGACAAGTAGAGATAAGGTCGCAAGGAACGCTTAACAACGTAAATCAAGTATTTAGTCCCTGAAATACTCCTATTTATGATTTTTAAACAGCAAGGTAACACTGTGATATGATAGAGACCAAGGGCTCCACTATCTAAAGGGGGACCCTAAACACCTGTCTTGGAGGTAAACAAAAACTTTATTCAGTTATCAAGATCATAAGCATTTAGCAACATTTGAAATCCTCTGGGATTCATAATACTGAAGGAAAAAGTCCAGTCCTTAATGGTTTAACAATACAATGGGAAATTGGTCACAATTTGAGACGTGTGTTAGGAGCCTGAAAGCAACCATCAAAAGGTTTTACTTACAAAGGAGCATTACAGAGCAAACTATAGCAACACATTGCTATCAGTATCAATGACTTTCAGCCCAGACTTGATTTTCACATCAATGACCTTCCAGTTTATAACACCCCTCACTGAATATGGGAAACCACTTCTACTTCACATGCAACCTCAAACTGATGCACATAAATGAAAGCAAACATGAAAGACGGAAGGGCAGTCTGTATTACAGACTGCCACTACCAACAGTGGAAGTCAGGGATAATTACACAAATCCAAATGTCAGACTAAAACATTGCCACAAAATAAGGGGAAGAGATGTGTTCTCTTAGAAAGACCAAATAGTTGAGACTGAAAAGGACCTTTCTAGGTCCCTAGTTCAAAAACCCTTGCTCAAAACCAGCGTCAGCTACAGCAGATTGCTCAGGGCCTTCTCCATTTTGGTTTTAGCATCTCCAAGGATGGAGACCGTACGTCTCTGTGCAGTACGTTCTAGTGTTTGACCACCCACACAATTAAAAAGTGAGGGGTTTTTTTATCCTTAAGTGGAATTGGGATTAAGATTTCAGGGGCATAATCATCATTCCTCCTTAAAAATGAGCAGAAAAACAACCTTCCATATTTTGAATGAAGACATTTATGCTTTGGAAGTTGAAACAAGCAGCTATTCAGGTGGGATATGAGTTAACTGTTTTCTCTTTTTGTACGTATACTTGAGTTTTAGAGGATGTCAGGAGACCACAGCATCAGATAAAGACAGACAGACAGGTTAGCATACATGAATCAGAGACATGTCTGGGAACGGTGCCAGGAACAAAAAAGGCAATGCAGGCAAGCCATTGGCATTTGGAGTATGAACACCAGTACACAACTTTCAGGTTACAAACACAGATAATTAAAGAACTAAAATCTACTTCCAAAGACATAAAAAGCCTTCAGCTCACTGCAGTGTCACTTAAAGACAATTGAGGGTTATAAGACAGTAGGTTCTACCACAGTCTTTTCTCACTGTGCTTATTTTATCTGTTCACCATTCATAGAATCACAGCATGGTTTGAGTTGGAAGGGACCTTAAAGACCATATAGTTCCAACCCCCCTGCCATGGGCAGGGACATCTTCCACTAGACCAGGTCCTCATCCAGCCTGGCCTTGAAGGCATCAAATTTGATTAACTTCTTCAGCCACAAGAAAGGCTTTGTTTAAAAGCACAGCATACACCACTCATTCCTTATGTGCTGAGTGTTATCATCAACAGATGAAGACAAACCGAAAACAACATATTTTAAACACACTTGTAAGCTTGGGAACAAATTCACCTAGACAACAAGTTAAGCAATCCTCATGTCTTTCTTATGTAATGCTTCCGTTGCTCCATATCCCATCCTCGTTAACAATGAACTCTGGCAGATCCTTGATATTCTATTGAATGTAGTAAAATTTTGCATATCTTGAGACTGAGGTATCAGTAAGATTATGATGTTTTAAAATGCCCTTCTCAGATTGTTACAGAACTCGCTCTCCAATTCAATTAATTCACACAAAATTATTCTGCATACAGACAAAAGGATGAAGCAATGACCAAAGGAGTACAGATACCATTGAGAGAATCAACTAGAACCCTTAATTTCTGTTAGTTCTAGGTGAAAGAGGGAAGAGGACGAGAAGGAAATTCATCAGCTGATGCTACCTGTAATCCCCTCACCTAAGAATGCAAAAGGAAACATTGCAAACCAAATGTAAACAGGTATAAGACACTTCTCAGTTGGGGGGAAAAAGGGAGGGGAGGATGAAAGAAAGGTAAGGGGAATAACAAAGGTGTACGTTTAAAAAAGAGGCAAAAGAGAGAGAAAAATACAGATTATTTTTTTCCCCAAACCATGGCCATGTGCATAATATACATAAAGGTCCTTACCTTTTTCACTGACACTTTCACTTTCTATCTCCACATCTTCACAGCTAGTATATTCTGGTGTTGATGCCCCTTCTTCCTCTGAGCTACTAACTGACATCTGCCTTTTCTTTCCGCCTCTCTTTGCTCTATGAGGCTTTGGAGGGGATGGCCGCACTGATTCCGACTGGTCAGAGCTAAGGGAATCATTCCTTAGCATGGTCTCCATTTTCTCCCGCTTTGCTTTTCGCATGAGAATAGCAGAGCTAGGATCAAGGCGGCTCTGTTTTTTAAAGGAATCGTGGTTCTTGTATTCTACGTGTTCTATAGGAACTGGACTATGCCTGGGAGTTGGTGGGCTATGATTAGTTAATTGTTTAGAAACAGAAATTCTTACATCACCTGTTCTGTCTATAGAGTACGACCTCTGAGTTTCCACAAGAGATTTTCTGTCCTGAGTTCCCTGTAATTGTGAGCGTTTTCCTAATTTATTCTCAGGTACCTCCGCTTCCTCCATTTCTGTATGTGGCAAAGCTACATCACTGTGTCTTCTCTCGTGCCGCGCTTTAGAAACTTTCGCATGCATGCGCATCTGCTGTTCCTCAGGATGCGGTTTTACAGGATATCTTGCCAGATTGGGGTCACTCCTGTAACGGGTATGATACTCATCTTCCTTCCTTTGTTTTTCATCATCAGGCACTTTGCCTTCCTCAAGTTTCTCTGGCAAGTCTGGGTAGTCCTGTGACTTGCCTTTCTCCAGTCTTCTACCTTCATGCCGTTCCTTACGCTCCCTGTCATCTGCTGGTCCTTCTTTTTGAAGTGAGGATTTTGGCACACGCTTACGCTCACTCTTTAAACCTTTGCCATTCTGGTCTGAAACGGATATTGTCTTCTTCCTACAATGGAAAGGAGTACAATAATTTGAAGAATGGAATCAAAACTAAAAATACTTGTGCACACTGTTATGGTAAATAGATTATAAACCAGGATAAGCTATAGTAAAACACACAGAAAGGTACTGGATCCATTAACATGAGTTAAATCTACTAATCCTTCCTGCGGTACTTTTATTTTCCAATAGCAAACAAGAGTCCACAAAAACATAAATTACAGATGCTCCAATTAATGAGTAAAATTACAAGAATATTAAAGTGTGCAGATAAAAATAATATACCCACATAAGTAGGAAGACTCAAAGTCATCTTGGTAGTAACTGCAGCACTGTGACAGAGTATTTGAGTATGTTCTCCATTTTTCTGGCAGCAGTCATAAGGGTTACAGGCCAACCACATATACACAATTCACTTCAAGCACCCTGACAGTATAAATATGAACACCACCAAACGGAGTAGCTCCTCCAATGACATTACAGAAAGAATCAATACAGGCATTAAAAAAATGCAAAGCAGTATATATCCAGCACCAATAATATTGAACCTAGTTTGCTTTATCTTATTGAAACTCTAAAAGAAGCATATAAAGAAAAGGAAAATGACTCCTTGAGACAAATGAATGGCATTCCTTTCTCAGGTAATAAAAGAGGATGAAAAAATGTAATGTATTTCTCTATACAGCCAAAGTACAAACAATCAATAATGAAGCTGTCTGAAAATTATGGCCTCTCTTCTTTTACCTTGTGCTTTGGGAGAATAAGGAAGTCAAAGAATCATAAAATCCCCTTACACTGGATATTTTTCTTTCTCTCATCATTCCAATTGCCCTTTTGTTCACCAGTTCACATATGAATCCATCGATTTTGAAAAAGGTCAAACACAGCTATACACTGTATTTTAGGGGAACCTGCACCAGGACGAAGTCACAAGGACTTTGTTTTGTGGCACCGGGTCATCCTTTCCACAACTGATACATCTTTGGATTATGTATCACAGATTTTCACAGACACATCTGACAGGAGAGGCAAAATTAAGCTCCTCTCTCCTTTTCCTCCATCTCCTGTTCCTCCTGGCTTTTTTGGCAATAAATGGGACCTAATCTTACCACAGATGGTCTTCATTCAGAACGCCTAAACTTCAGTTGAAAGTCTCAGAGACAAGTAGAGAACATTACTATTGTATAATTAATACAACCATCTCATTTTTTGGACAGCAATGCAGAAACAGAAAGTATTTTCTGCTCTAAAATTGTCCTTCGGCTGAGTGATGACTGCTCTGGGGGCCTTCCCAGTGCTGGGAGAAAAAAGTCAACAGAATCAGAGGAGGGCACCACGTGCTCCTTTACATCATACATAAACATAACACTGACCTTAGTTTGAGCCCAGTTAAACCCAGGCAGACCTCACCCACAGAGTAAGTTACTAGTCCTTGTTACTCATCCATTTTCAGCTTCAAAAGTAATTAAAAAAAACATCAACTGCTCTGGCCAAGAGAGAATTTTCTATGGCAGACTTGTTTTGTTGCCACAGGCTCCCTCCTTGACTGCTCTGCCATCTGCCAGGCAGCAGCTAAAAGAACAGCAACTGCTTCATCACATTATCCTCTCCTGATTTGCTACTCCTCAAGCCATTCATTACAGTGAATGCAGCTCAGGAATTTACTCATTTATTCATTTAAAATATAATAGTTTGCTTCTGCTTGGCTTTGCTCTTCCATGCAACTTGCTCTGAATTAAAGATGGTACTGTTGCTGTACTGGATGGATGTTTACTTTGCATGTGTAAATGAGGTCTTTTAATAATTCCTGGTTTATTATTAAAAATAATACAATCATTGATAAAATGATAACACATAAGGATATCTGACAGAACTCCACAAGGTGGGCTTTTTATTTGTTTGGGTTTTTCTCAGGGGAGTGGTGTTTTTTTTTAAATTCTAGTACATTATTTCGTCAAGTTAAAGTCTTGTTTTTTGTTTAGTAACTTTAAAATACCTGCCAAACGTAAAAGTAACCTACAATTCTGTATTAAAAGAATACACCAAAATGCATTGAAGTAGGTGGGAATATCCCTAAAATGCAATTATTCCCCCCCCCCTTTCTGTTGCACAGACCAAATCAGACGATGTATTTGCTAGTGAACACTTACCCTTCTGTGGTCAGCAAATCAATTTATTCTTTGCTCTTACATGCACAGCCCAGCTGAAAGCCCTGAGTAATATTACTGGACTAGCATGTATAATTGCAAGGCTGTGTCAAGACAGAAAGCATTACCTCTCTCTGGGAGGTTCACTTCTAGACCTTGATGAAACTTGCTTTTGGTCCAGGCCCATAGCCGGCTGCGATACTTCTGCTCCTTTCCTCCGGTCAGACTGCACAATGGAAGAGGAGATTTCCTGTGATGAGGCAGTTGCTGTGCTTAAGGGTGTCTGTGATCTCGATCGCTCTTGAAGCCTTGCTTTCTTTTCTCTCGGGGCATCCGAGCTTCCACCGGTCGCCGTATCACTCAGTGCTCCGTCCTGGCTGGGTGAGGGCTGCGGTCCACTTCCAAAAAACCATGCTCCGGATTTCGTTAGGATCTCTTGTTGCTTTCGACATAAATTGCATACCCACATAACCTAGTTGAAGACAACAAGAGGCGTCAGTGCAGCCACCCCTCAGACCCTGAAATACACACTTACTATCACGGAGCGGGTACGATCTCTCGCTCTCCTCTAAGCCGGGGAGCTTGGTGCTCATGACAGGACCCAGCATGCTTCTCCAAGCACCATCTGCACCGGCTACAGCCAAGCATCCTACAGGCACATGCTATGCGAGCTTCTCCACAATGTGCTGTCAACATACGTCAGCCCTACCTGCAGCAATCCCCTCCTCAGCCCAGCCCTAGCTCCCTCCCGAATAAACACCGACAACATGACCAACGCTTATTGCTCGTGATAATGCAGTTGAGGGGGTGGGTTGGGTTGGTTTTGTTGGTGTGGACCGCTGTCAGGACAAGCCTACCGACTGTGAACAGGACTGGTACCGTGGGTGGCAGAGCCCTGCCCAGCTAAATCCCAACCTCCACCACCACAGAAAAATGATACAGTATTGCCCTTTTAATAACTTTTCCCACATAACGCAGCTCAACATTATCCCGCAGACAAGCTCAGTATTTACTGTGCATGACTTCAGCTACATCCACAACTACTTACCAGAGATGTAAGGTAAGACCTAAGAAACCTACTAATAGAGAACTAAATGCACCAACGGAAAGAAAGCAAAAGTACCGTAATTTGTACTACTTGGAAATGATCATTTACCATCTCTCTGAGTTATAGCTGTAAATAATAAATAAGTAAATTAAACGTGTCCCTGGGAACCACAAATAAGCTATGTAGATAAACGATGCTCCTTAGGATTTTTTTTTTTAAATTCCAGATACACAGATAAACAGGAGCACACACAGTAAAGCAAAACTCTGTTTGAAGCCTATATACAGTACAAGACAGTCTTACATACAGGAGTAAATCACCAGAGAAAAATAAAAGGTTAATCGGGACCCTAAAGTGCATGAATATTTAAGAAAAAACAGAGATAAATACAGAAGGAGTTTTGAGGAAGAAGAACAAAAAGGCAAAAGGCATTAAGAATATGCAAGAGGTAGAAAAATTTTCTGAAATAAAGACAGAGATGAGAGGAAACAGCTGAAAACTAATAAGGAAAATGATAAAGAAAATATTTCAGTTTGATGTTGAAAGACGTAAAAGAATGGGTAAAATTGTAAAGAGGGTAGGAAGGACGACAAATTTGGAATGAAAAATATGCTTAAACTATTTTGTGTAAACACAGGAATGATAGAACTGTTGCGAAATTATACAGCACTGAGAATCAAAAGGTACAGAAAAAACAATCTCTTGAGGGAAGAAATTGCAACCGGACCAGGCTCTGGTACCAAGCTCTCCTATTCTCTGGCCTGGGGGAGAAGAGCATGGCTTACCTGGCATGATAAAAATTTTAGGCATTTTACATATTTAACATAACTAAAATTTATTTAAAACATCCAAAAATATACTATCTCTTTAGGTCTGAAGAATACAGCAGAACTTCCAAACCCATTTCTGTACTGTTTGACCAAACTGCACTGGGAAGACATCCAGCTCTTTTCCCTGTATCTGGATTGTGCCTTTATCTGATGCCTGTTACATTTCTTCTATTTAAGAAGGATAATAAAATACCTATTAAAATTTTAATTAATTAAAAAAAACCTTAATCAAAAGCTACAGTTATTCCAACAGTGACACAAATGCATATTATGATAAAAGCAGATAAACCTCAGTAGGATAATAGGAACAGCAACTTCACCAAAATAAATGTTAGTCCTTTAACAAAAAAATCTGTTGATTCCAAAATGTCTTATTTCTTTTGTCTAGTATACTTTAAGAAACAGAGATTCCGCTTCTCAGACTATCTGTCCTAACAGAATAGATTTTAAGTCTACCTGGTATTATTATGACAGGTATTCAAAAAAACCAGCAACACTGAAAGGAAAAAAACCACCACATTTTTAAATGCCTTTCTAAACTCTGACACAACTGTTAGATCACTGGACAGCACAAGTGTGCATGCACATCTGTCTGTGTATAAAAACTAAGTCAATGCTATAAAACAGGCATTAATGAAAAATGTTATTGTCACATTTCACCAGTTTACAGGGAAAGTTCAAAAAAGTATTAACAAAAATATAAATCAATCTGAGTTTGTTTAAAGGAAGGATAAAGAATACTAAAGTAAAATTTAAATATTCTAATTAAATTACACGTGTCTGCATGTGTGCGAGCACATTTAAATGTGTAAACTGGTAACAGACTTCATTTACAATTTAATCTATTTGATCATGTAATATATGCATAAAGTATGTAATAAATTTCAAGAAATTACCATTAATTTACATAATCACTTTTTATATTGTAATTATTTTTATGCAAGATATTATGAAACCCAAACAAATAGGACTGCACAAATAGAGGCAGAAAGCCACAGAATACAGAAAGAAGTACTAGGCATGCAAATACAAAACCATTTTCTTACGGCTGTCTTTAAACACTGCAGTTTGGGACACAAGACATACCAATCACCACAGATTACACATGTAGGAAATCTGCATTATACTCACATAGTGGCTACACTACCATCCTTGCTTAGGAATCTCTTCAGGACTTAATAAATGCTACATTTGCCTTGAGATATATTCAGTCCAAAAGGAAAAAAACAATAAAAGCTTTTCTTTCAAAAGAAAAAAACAACCCCAAAACCTGAAGTGACAGAGCAGTTTCAGTGACAAAACTGTATACTGAAAAACATTTTAAGAGAAGTACGTGGAGCAAGCAATTTAGCAGCATGCAGGAATTATATCCTGATTGAATACACTGGGATGTGGTCCAAACTAATCTAAACTAAAGCAGGTCTGTGTAATAACTTATCTTAACAATCCACAGATGTTAGGCAACCAAACAAATGCTCTGATGAAGGATTACAGTTCTCTAATGTGGCTTCTGGACCTCCACGTGATGCATCAGTAAAATGAAGAGCGTTAGACAATTTTACTCTGGCCTGTCACTTCAAAAATAGTCACTGTTTACTCTTTTCTGGATGGGGAGCTCTGAAGCAGCGCTACAGTAAGTCACTCAAGACACCCACAGCCTGGTTTTTGTTGTCGGGTTTGTTTCTGGTTTATTGCATCCTTGCATAGGTCAACGCGTACCCGCACGTGAAGCGATTAAAGAGAACCAGTAAAGGGGTGCTCCTCATTCAAGGGGTGCATATGCATGGCTCTGGGAAAAAAAAATGTGCATTTTCACAGCATAGCAAAGGCTTCTGGGCTTTACTGCTACGTAACAAAAACAAAGTGGCACATACAGGACTCAGCGGAGGTGGGTCAACGGTTCCCACACAGATTCACGTGGAAACTTTACGGGCTGCGTGAAAACATGCTAGAAGGATCCCATGCTTGCCTTCAGGTGGAATATGGGGTATTTCATTCACAGAAAAGATATTCCTCAAACTTACTCTTACAGGTACTGTTGAATGTGATCCACAATGAGTAGGAACAGTATTCCTGTACTAACACAACATGAAATTTCAACTTGAAAGAGCCCATAGCAAATAATATATACAACTACACACACAGAGAAAAAGAGCATTTTCAGTTAAAAGAATAAGAACACTTCTTCATGATTACGTATTTTTAAATTGCCTCTTTTAATGCAGAAAAAAGGCTTTTTTCAAATTTCAAATTTGGAAACTTCCAAACATGCACTGGGAGGCTAAAGTCACATTAGGGGGGATGCAAACTTTATACCAAATTGGTGTGACCCATTCCAGGCGAAACTCAAGCTAAGATGAGAGCAAGTATCCCAGATCCTTCACCCAAGCCCGGATTCTGAGAGAGCTCCATAAGAAGCACACTCCTTCAAGTTTCATGAGTTTAGAAATAGCAAACCCATAGTTAGACTAATTGCCATGCATCCTGCTTCATCTCTGAACACCAAATTAGGGAACAAGTGTGCTAATACAGCAGGCCACAAGCTACCCCTTACTGACCCTTCATGCTATCTTAATTATCCCTTCTGAAGGATGTATACACAACATCTTGTCACTTTACTGCCTTTTTTTAATGTTCCTTCAGCCACCTTCTTCTAGAAGACACTAGTTAACTCAGATAGATCTAATTAGGCAGACCCTCTTCTCTGCCTGAGGCAACATTAACTTCAGCAGAGCTCTGCCACCATCCTACAAATCATCGCTTGAAACTCAGAGGGAAAAAATGTTATCAGTTTGTTCTTACAAAACCACTGATTCAGAGTTAAGACTATGTATCACTTAATGTTTCTAGGATAACAGAAAACATGCAGCAAACCATGAAATTAGTATACGGCACTGCATTTATCTATTGTGCTGTATCAAAACGTATTCTGTAATAAAACCCCTAGCTTAGGTGTCATGATGGCTTCACTCCATTAAAATATAAATAAATGAAGCTGAAAATCTACTTGAATCCTCACATTAGTCCAAAATCTAAGTAAGTACACAACACTACCTTTCACATGAAAATGTGCTTGTGAATCCAAACTTCTATTAAATATATTTTTCAACACTGTACAGACAACTGAGCAAGTTGCTTAAGACACCAAGCTGTGTGCTGCAGTCAACCAAGCTGTGTGGAGGAAAGGGATTGCCATCCAGAGGGACCTGGACAGGGACCTTACTGCAGCCTTCCAGTACCTGAAGGGGCTACACGGAAGCTGGGGGGGACTTTTTACAAGGGCCTGTAGCGACAGGACAAGGGGTAATGGGTTTAAATTGAAAGTGGGGAGGTTTAGATTAGATATCAGGAAGAAATTCTTCCCAGAGAGGGTGGTGAGACACTGGAACAGGTTGCCCAGATAAGCTGTGGATGCCCCATCCCTGGAAGTGTTCAAGGCCAGGCTGGATGAGGCTTTGAGCAACCTGGGGGCAGGGGGGTTGGAACTAGATGAACTTTAAGGTCCCTTCCAACCCAAACCATTCTGTGATTCAAAGAATAAATCAAATGGTTCCTGGTCACCAAAAGGGAAGGTCTTCTCCCCATCTCCCTCCT